AGAAAATGTTTTGTTTATGGGTGTTTTTGTTCAAATTAATGCATCCATGCATAGGCGTGCCTGCTTATACCGTGTGAATACTCATGCGTTGGTAGAAAGTGTGCCAGGGGCTAAACAGATAGAAAGAGAAGACAAGCAGACAGAATCATTTCTTTCCCAATCACTCCCAGACCTGCATCTGTTTCACAGTTGCTGTCTCTCTCATGCAGCCGCTGCCAGCGGTGGAAAAACAGGCAGCTGCTTGAACAGAAGACTTCCATGTGATGGAAGGACAGACAAGCAGAGAGACTGACAGAGAGACAGATAGATCCAGACTGGTTCTTCTCAAGGTTAAAATGTTCAACTTGTGTAAGAAACAAGTTAGCAGAATGCTGTACAGGCACTCCAACTTGCAACTTGTTTATATATACACCAGAAAAAGTGGTGGGTGTTTGTGACTAGATCCCAGCTGATAACTCTATAACACGTATAACAAATATACAGTATATATGTGGACCAGTTTACTTGGTACACTTAAAAAGTAGTCTAATACAACAGTCCTACGGTAACTGTCCATGAAGGTTAAGTCAGTTTACCTCAATCGGGTGGACAAAATTATAGAAACTCCTGTCAGTGTAACAATACAATAAACTGCACCACAAACTGCAGCTTACAAAATGGCCATGTACTTAATTTAAAGGTCCAGCATGTGACATTTTGGATCTATTGGCAGAAATGGAATATAATACTTATAGGTATGTTTTCTTTAGTGTATAATGACCTGAAAATAAGAATCGTTACATTTTTGTTACCTTAGAATGAGTCGTTTTTACAGAGCGGGTCCTCTTCTACAGAGTCTGCATTTTGAACTGCCATGTTTTCTACAGCTGCTTAGAATGGACAAACCAAAAACTGGCTTTAGATACACAGGCAACTGAGTATTGTTGGTAATTAACAAGAGATGGCAATACAGAAAGGCACAGAGCACTGAATTGTTAGCTTTTTGTGTAAGATGTCCCACTGAGTTCAGTAAGTTCACAATTCTTTAATACCCAACTTAACAACGTAACAACAATTCTTTAAGTTAAAGTGTTTATGTTGAAAATAATATCAGTTATATATATATATTGTTATCTAACTCTCAAATGTTAATATCTTGAAAAGTACAGTTTGTAACACTGACAAGTCGCAGTTGCTGAATGACAGTTTGTAAAAGCTACTCTTGCGAGTGTTTCTAGCAATGGCATTGTCTGATTTTTGGGCCACCTGATATTTAGTGTTTCATTATGTGCTTGCATGTTATCACATCACTCATACTGTTCGATTATAAAGTCGTAGAACTTGTGACCAACTGACAGGCAGTTGAACATGGACAGGCAGACACTGACAGACAGGTGATGGTTAAGGCCAGTGGATCCCACCTCCGTCCTGTTATGTGATACAGTACAGTGGGCTTCACCCGCCACTCCTCCCCTCCCCTCACCTCCCTCCCTCCTCCCTCCATAGATAATCCTTCCTAATTCTTTGCTTGCCCGTGCCAGCTCGACCAAATTGTGATTGACTGCTGTCCCACATGGTGTCTATGTGTGTGTATGTGTGTTTGTGCACAACTGACCCTTCCCTCCCTCCCTCCCACCTCCTCCACCTCCACCTCCTAGATTAACCGGATCAGTTTTGGGTTTCAGGATCCCCTATGCTAGCTTCTGCGGCGGTCACACACACACACACACACACACACACACACACACACACACACACACACACACACACTCATACACATATACACATATGCATATGAAAACACAGGCGGTAGGCTGTTTTTTGGCCCTTCATGATGCGCTATTGGACCCCTAACAGTCTGCACTGCCATCTGTCACAATACAGGAGAGACCAAACACACACACACAAACACACACACACACACACACACGCACACACACACTCACTCACTCACTCCAACAACAAATGTTTGTTCTGGTTTACATACGGCACGACTTGATGATGCCTCCATCTTTGTAAACACTGCAGAAGGATGCACATACATCCTGGTATACAGCTCAATTTAACCTCTACCTGCTAAAGCAAGACAACAAGTCTCCTGTTATTACTAATAAGCATGAACTTATTTGAATCCAGCTTTCCATACTTGTCTCTTTATCCTGACAGGCAGAGCTCAGCATGGGCAGGGATATTTCTCCTCTTGCCTGAGGACCCTTTTGTAACTTTTTTTGAGTGTATTTTTCATTTCCTTTTTGCTCATCAGAAGTTTTTCAGCTCCAGGGTCCATGAAACTCATTCAAAAAGGTGCAACTGAGAAATCAAAAGAGAGACGTTTTGGAGTTTTTGTCCAGCAGATGAAAGACATTCAAATCTCTCTCATCAGCACACTACACAGGACGCCATGTTGACACTGACAGTTGTCACTCGCAGATCTCTTGTATAAGCCTGATCTGTGACTATGGGCTTTGTTATATGACTTAGTGCCGCTGATGTAACCCGCCAGCAGCACTTTGTCTGTGTGCATTCGCATGAGTATGTGTGTTCATGTGTTCATGGCAGCAGATGGTGGGAGCAGTATTACCACAGACCGATGGACAGTGCACAGGGTAGAGTGACTAGGCTGTGTTGACTACAGCAAAGACAGCATGACACTCTGTCTCTCTCTCTCTGTCTCTCTCTCTCTCTCTGTCTCTCTCTCTCCCTCTCCCTCCCTCCCTCTCTCTTTCTCTTCGTCTTCTTCCCATCCCCTCGGTGTCAGACGGATGAATGGCTGGCTATCTCTCTCAGTCAGCAGCCACGCCGCTCTTTCATCATCTGTCTCTCTGCTCGGTCTTTCATTCCTCTGTAAGGATGTCAGACTAGTCTATCACTCCCTCCATTCCTCAGTCCATCCATCCCTCCTGTCTGTCAGATGAGTATCTATCTCTCTTCCACCTCTTTTCCCCCTCGTCAATCCATCCCTCCATCCCTACGCTCCCTCCCACAGTGAGTTTGTGTGTTCTCTGTGTGCTTCAAGTGTGAATCTACATGTGCAGTAGTGTTTGTTTGTTTGTGTTTTTCAATGCGCTCATGGCTACATGGGCGCGTGTGTGCGTATATGCGTATATGCGTGTGCCAGATCACTATCAACCCCCTCCCTCTTCCCCTCCCCCACTGAGTGTGTGGTGTGAATCAAGGTCAGTGGGGATCTGTTGGCAGACACCCCCCGTCCCATCTATCCCACCCACCCCCTCCATGCTTCCCTCCCACACACACACCCAGAGGGTTTGTGTGTGTTGTGCCCATCCAGCCATCTAGATGTCCCTGCTATGCCTGCCTCAGCTCAGCTCAGTTTAGCTCAGCTCAGCTCAGCTCCGTGGATTAATTACTGGGGAACCCACCGCGTCTCTGACCTCCACCGTCGGACTAATTGAAATCTAATTGAATTGTGCTTGTCTAGACTAATGAAGCCCCGCCACTGAAACCGCCAATCTTTTAGCTGAGGCTACTTGCCCGATAGCCACCCAGCTGCACTGTACCGACTGCACTGTGCGGCTCAGTTTGGATGAATGGATGGATATGGGACCAGATTGGTAGATAGATGGACTCATAGTTATAAGTGTTAAGTGTTTTTACTTAGTAATATATGTTTTGTGACTTTTACTGGATTAAAGTTCAACAGCATCATCAGATGTATTATAAAATTGTAGTTGAGTACATCAATACCTACTGAAATATATGCTTCCTTATTACAAAATGTAATCCTATCTCATGTCAAACCTGCGTTTTGCGTCTTTGCTGTTTGCCAGTGCCAAATCATAGTGAAAGAAAACTTTATTTTGAGGACCACAGTAGCCAAAATCATGTAATATGACATTAGTAAACTTGGAGTTAGATTAGCTTAGCAGATCCTCACCACTGTGGGTTCAGTCTTCAGCTGTGGTGCTTCAGGTTCGCCTGGGTGCACATACCAACACAGTGGGCAGCATTTGCAGGGTGGTATGCCGATGAGGTGTCCTTGTCTCTGCAGCAGCAGCGGGAGGTGGCATCTAGGCGGGATAGTGTGAACCTCAATACTCCTCTTTAGGCTGATCACTGACAGATGATAAGAAGTGGCTGAAAAGAAGTGGCAGAGACACCTGGCAGACTGCATCCTCCCCAGGCTCACAGTGGGAGTTCCACCGTGCTGGGAAAATCAGCCAATCCAATTATATGTATTTTTGGGAGAAAAAGGGGGAAGAAAGTGTCTTCTTACATAAAAATCTTTTCTAGTTTTTTCTGAGTACAAACTAAGCCCCATCCCCAAACATAAGCAACTACAGCATCAAGTCCACAGTGCCCTTGTTTCCAAAACTTTATGAAGACCATGGAGGAGGAGGGTGGCTGTCGAAAGCGCTTTAGACAGACATGGAAGCCTGGTGGAGGTGGTGGGATGGGTGGGGGGGTGTACCCCAGGGAGGTGCTTGTTTTGTTGGGCCTTCTTTAGCTTTTAGCAGGTGAGAGACGGTGCCGTGATTCACCATAAGTTATTCATTTGACGTTTCCTCCCTTCTCAGCTCTTTGTAGGCTGGAATACATTAGCAACCTGGCAGAGTGGAGAGGATGCTAATGTGGAAGAGAGGGAGAGGGAGAGGAGAGGAAGAGAGGATGGAGGCAGTGGAGGGAAGGAGTCATTAGAGGAGGAGGAGAACAGAGAGGGAGAGGACACGGCTTTATGATGTGTGGGAAGGGGAAGTGACCTTCCCTCTCACTTTCATCTTGGCTTTTCTCTCCTCTTGCCTTGTTCCCTGAGACACACACACACACACACACACTCTCACACACACACACACACACACACTCAAATGTACAAATGTATGATGGTGCATGCGGGTGCACATTACAGGCACAATGCATACAATCTCTTTTCTTGAGCAGGCACACACACACACACACACACACACACACACACACACACACACACACACACACACACACACACACCTCAGTATCCATTTTTCATCCTTCTTTCTCTTCTTTTCTTTCTTTTTTTTCCTGTGCAGGTCCCCTTGCAACCTGGCCAGTCTTTCAAGTTCACAGTCCTGGAAACTCTGGACCGTATCAAGGAGGAATTCCAGTTCCTCCAGGCGCAGTATCACAGGTACAAATACAATATTACATTGCATTTATGAATAGAAATGCACATCATAAATGTCTATGGTTAACATATTCTTTCTAATCAAGAGGAACTGGTATGAAAAATGGCTCGTCTAAATTTTTTTATTATTGTATATTCTCTACACTAAATGTAATAATTATAGAAACAACAGATTGTTATTCAGTTCAGTGGAAGAGGCAGTTGAATTCTTGAATATATGAACCAGTAAAGATAATATGACAGCGTGCAAGTGCTGTCCTTTAATCTTTATTACTACACTTAATGTACAAAATATTGGAGACTGATAGTGAGTTGCAGCCTGTCATACTGAATCCAGGCTCACCCATCTCAAAGCTTTACACACTTCTCTTACTCTTTGTATAGATTTCCAGTTTCTCCTATCATACTGATAACATTAAACAAGTATATTTGTATCTCTTACATTATTTCTGTTGCCATTACACTTTGTTACAGTATAACTAAAGTTGTGGAAAAATTATATTACAGTTTCCAACATATCATATGGCTGACCAGAAGTGACCCTGGCAAAGAGAGATGAAGCACTGTTGGTTAAAACATCCAGCCTCTTGCTCACACCTCAGTGGGTAGGCTGAAAAGCCTGCTGTGGTACAGCAATACCACTTTACTGCTAGACATTAGGCTGGTGGATCTCAGTGAGACACACACTCTATGCAAACAGATATCTATCCATGTGCCCTAATAATACATACACTATAGGTTTACTAATAATAAACCCCCTGACATATTAGTCGATATCAAGTGTCTTTTCACCTTCTCTGAATATTGGCCTGGTAAAGTTGCTGGTAAACTCATACACACTAGTGACAGCTCTAGAGTGACAGGACAGGGAGGAGAGAGAGGGGATGACACGCAGCAAAGGGCCACAGGTTGCATTCGAACCCATGACTGCTGCTGTAATGACACCTTGGTACAGCACGACCAGGGCTCCACCTTGGTAGTTTAAACAGTCTCGAACAAATATATGTAATAATGTACAATTAGGCCCTTCCTGAATAACTAAGGAGTTTTCTGTCTTTATTTTGTCTATTATTGACTCATGTAATGCATTTGAAACACATTTGAGTACTTTGGAAATAACCAGCCCTTTACTTGATGCAAAACTAAAGCAGAACACAGCCAAAAGGCACAAACCCAACATGAAATGTGATACTTTGTCAGGACTCATTGGACCCTAACATAAACACGGCAATCTATACATGACGTATATAACTAGACACACTCCCACACCCGTGGAGGTGTGATGAATTGCAGTGGTGAGTAAAACACACCCTGCTGGCAGTTGCTACCAGGAAGGTGATATTTTTCAGTGTCGCTTGAGCATTAAAACGTAGCCTGACCACGTGACTAAGAATATTTTTTGGTATCCTTACACGGCCTTAAACTATGTTTGACCTCTGCAATATCCGAGTCCAGTGAAAATTATAATTCATTTCAGTAGATGCAAATACACCATTTAATCCTAGTGTGTGTGTGTGTGTGTCCTTTTTCGTCCTTGTGCAGCCTGAAGCTGGAGTGTGAGAAGCTGGCTAGTGAGAAGACTGAGATGCAGAGGCACTACATCATGGTGAGTCCAATCAGGTCTTTACCAGAGCTGTACGGTGATTTGTTAGTCTGACTGGGCCACTCAGAAGCTCTGAAAAGAGTCTGATGGGTTCTTAGGAATTGCAATCAGGGGACTTGTATCTGTGCTTTTGATTAGCTGGATTGATGTTATTTAGTGTTTATGTCGTAAAAGCTCTCTTTGTCTCTTCACTGTTCTTCCTGTATTTCTCTCATTCTTTCTTCTTTAATTTACATCATTGGGTTTTACATAGCACAAAAATAGGGCAAGGCAATAGACATATTGCACAATTTATAATTTAAAATCATGTTGAAATGACATTAATATTTTTAAATGTCATGATTTACTTTGAGAAACATATAATGATAATAATAATACATCTGCATATGAGTGCAGTGGTTCATAATCTTAAATATCTGTAATAGTGGAGTACAGTTTCATATTTCCTCAAGTTGTACAAACTATTACTAAACCAGTATTATTTGTTTTTCTCTCTGTGTTTCTTGCACACCATTTATCTTGCTCACTCATACTCCTCTCTAAAACGTACTTTGCCTTGTCTCTCTGTCTTTCTCTCAGACCCTCTTCTTCTTCGTCTCTCTGTTTTCTCTCGTGCGCTAACAGCCTGAGCTCCCTCTGTGTCGGTGTGTCTGTGCGACTAAAGGCTCACATGTATCGTAAGCCTTCGTCTGTGGTACAAAACCCACACAGAGCCGACCAGAATACGATATGCACCATCTGCTAAGCTGCTCGCATTTCATAAACCTGGGAGAGCAGGCAGGATCAGGCCCGTAAGCTAGATAGACACACAGATGGATAGACAGAAAGAGGGAGAGAGAGAGAGACAACCAGACAGGCAGATAGACTGACAAATAGACTGAGTGTGAGAGAGAAAAGCAAGCAGGCAGACAGGGAAACAGACAAATGGATATACTGTAGGAGCGCACAGACAGGCAGATGATAAAGAGATAAAAATATATACACACAAACACACAGGAGATACAGCATACACATTCATTCATTCTACACACACATCCTTGTTCTTCTGTTCTTATGAGGACCTTTCATTAAAGATATTTAACTAATCCTTATTCTTGTAATAACTGACAATGTAATAAGAGCCTAATGATATCAATCAAAATTACATAAATATTTGTCCAATTAGGATTACTATGTTATGAAACAAACTGTTGGATAATAGTGTACCATATTATAACCAAAAGGTGTTTCTTTATTTTTTACTACTGGTGACTGTAAAACTTTGAAGCAGTCATAGTTGTTAAAGTAAGACTACGTAATTTTTAAAGGAAGAAATAAGACCCCTGCTTTAAAACAACGGACTCAAGAACAGCCTTGAGAAGTGAAGGGAAATTAAAAATTGTCCTTAAGTTGTCACCAAAGTGGCTGCTGTTCAGCACAAATTACAAAAGCTCAGTTAATCATTCTGTATACTTACACTTAAGTTACGACATAATCTCCCAGTCACATCCTCAACCCAATACAGGGATGTTTTTATTACATTTTGAAGTTATTGCATTTTCTGGCAGTTTGAATAAATCACGTACTGTATAATAACAAATCCACACAACTGCATAGCCCAAAAACTTGTTGAGGTTTTGTTTAGGATCTTAAACTAACCATACACCAGCCCTCAACTCGTCCTTTTAAAAACAGAAGGATTTTTCAAACTGACCTCACTTCATAAAAATATCCTCACTATGCTTTTCAAAGTGGTAAAAAATATGAGAAGAAACATGTGTGCATAAATATGATACAGTGCAGAACACACACAAAGTAAAACCACTGCAAACCACAGACTCAAAAAACACCCACTTCTCTAATCTTGGGCACTCCCAATTTTAGCTGCGGTTTCACAGAATTACTGTGTGGAGCAAACAGCCTAGACAAACATCCACCTTCTCCACTGCAAATCCTCACCACCCAATCTTATACTATAGGAGGGGTGGCATGTCAGCAAATATGCATTTCCTTGTCTTTCAGACATGGGGCAGTGGATGACATTTGATCGAACTTTGTGCATATTAAATGTCACAGCCTTTGTGACCACTGCACCACTGGCGAACTAAGGAGGGAGAGAAATGAGGAGTATCTTCTGCTTCATGTTTAAGTTCACCACTAGGCTTTAACTGCTTCCTATGGCCAGAGGTCAGGGAGCTGCAGATGCAGATGACATATCCATATAGGTTAGCATGGCAGATGGTTAGCACTCCAGGCTATAATATTTGAACTGGGGCTCACTGTGGTGTAGTGGATGCCTAACACAGTGCTATGCTACTTCAGAGGCTCAGAAAAGAGAGGGAGGGAAAGAGGGAGAGAAAATGAGAGGGAGGGTAGTGAAAGAGAGGCTCAAAGGGAAAGATAGCTTGAGAGAAAAAAGGCTCAGAGTGTCAGACAGAAAAAAAACAGGGAACTGCTGAGGGAGGGAGGGAAGGATACAAAGGGAGGCAGAGATAAAGAGAATAAAAGAGGAGAGGGAGAGAGTGATAGAAGCTGGGGAGAGAGATACAGAGGGAAAGAGAAAGAGGGAGAGTGTAAAAATGCTGAAAAGGAATGAGAGACGAAATGAGAGAGAGAGTACCAGGGGACAGAATTGCACATAGGAGAGATGGAGGGTTGAAAAAAGATGCTGTGAAGGGATGAAATGGAGAGAGAGAAAAGAGAGTATGTAACACGGAGTGCAAGAGAAAGAGATAGTGATGTGTTTGTGTGGGGGGGCGTGAAATGAAAGAAAGAGAGATAGAGAGAGAAAGAGAGAGAGGGTGCACGCACAGACACGTAAATAATGTGAAGCAACAACGGACTCGCTGCGCCCACAGAGGAGATAACCCAGAAGGCTATATTTAGCTCGTTAGGCCTGTCATCCACACTGAGGCCTGTTTCCACAGGCTGGGGCTCTGCTCACCACGCTGCACTGCTCCTGCCTTTACTATTCATCAGTTTTAAGCTCTTTTAAATACTAGGGTAAGGGGTCGGAAAGTAGGAAGATGGTTATACAGGGCGATGCAGGGCTGGGGCCAGTGAACTTTAACACCCAAGAAGACATGACAGTTAAGAAAACATGCACATTTTTCTGTTTGCATTTTTTTTAATTTGGCAAGACTTTCCTGATGAAAACAGCAGCATAAACGCCTAAAAACAACATGTCTATGTTAAAGTGGCAATAGGGAAGCAAAGGTGTAGGTTGTGTTAAGTTGTTATAGAGCCACAAAGTCTGGCGAGGTAGGAGGTCTGGGTGGTTTGGTGGATCAACAAAACGACGGATTTTGACAAGGGAGGCTGCTGTTTCCTGCAGACATTGGTTTCTTTTAAACATGACCACGATTGTTTCCTAGCCCTAACCAAGTAGTTATTTTAACTCAAACCACAATCTTTCCCCATCCCTAACCAAGTCATTTTTGTCAAATCTCAACTAACCAAGCTATATAGCGATGACAAATGATATTGTCCTGCCAGTATCTTGAAATCATCAGCTCTAAAAACACTTGTACTGTATGTGTCTGAAAGGAATTTGGCACTATCTTTATCTTTCTCTGAGAAAGTTTGAGTTTGTGTATGTACTGTGTCAATGTTGTTGTTGTCTGATCATCAGCCAGTCTTACCATAACTTGCTTGCTATTGCAGCATTCTTGTATTTATTACAGATATACCAGCTTCAGGTGTGGATTTTCCTCAGAGGTAAATCTGATGAAGAAAAGCTTTAGGTTGACAGTTGCTGCTCCATATTAAAAACACATATAATTGCATTATCCATATCTCATCTTTTCAGATCATATGTGTGAAAATCTGTGTTTAAAGGTCCAGTGTATAATTTTTCAGATTTATTGGCAGTGTTAGAAGATACTATTCATAGGTATGTTTTCATTACTGTATAACTGCCTGAAAATACAATCATTGTGTTTTCGTTACCTTAGAATGAGTTTCTCTTATCTACAGAGGGAGCGGGTCCTCTTCTATGGAGGCTGCCATGTTGAACTGCCATGTTTCTACAGTAGCCCAGAATGGACAAAGCAAACACTGACTGTAGATAGGGCCTTTCACCACAGTTTCTCCTACACCAGGGATAGGCAACCTGCAGCTCTTTAGCCCCTTCCAAGTGGTTGCCTGTGGCTTTGACCAAATATTAAATGGAATAATGTTTATTTTTAAACATTTTCATTTCTCATTGTTGTAGGCCTGAAGTGATTCTTACATTCTCTAATTCTAAAAATGTGTTGCCATTTCATACTAAATATAACTTATTAGCATTATAAGGTTCAAATGTTTTGTGGCTTCAGACAGATTTCTTTTTTGGCTAAATTTTTCTCTTCCGTTGCTAAAGTTTGCTGACCCCTGTCCTACACAGTTGGAATGGGAGGGTGAGGCAAGCGGGTTGTAATCTGCAACTACACTGCTAGGCATTACAAAATCCTACACACTGGTCCTTTAAGTAGAACTGAGCTACCAAGACAGCCTAAATATTTAATTTTTTACATGTGGAAAAGCGCATTAAGATTTAAAGATAGTGACAGTAAAGGTTCCAGAAAGGTCTTGAGAAAACATCTTGTTTTTGTAGTAACATCCACAAACAATTAAACCATAACCTAAAACACGTTTTGTATGGTATTTGCCATGTCATGTTTTTTCATATCTTTAGGCTAATGGTAATCACTACAGGGAGGTAACAGTACTGAAACAGACTTATAGTTACAAACATAAAACATCCCCACTACATTTACCTATTTGAGAGGATGTCACACTAACTAAGCCAAAGCAAAAGGCAGAATAACTGCAGCGATATTGTATTTTCTAAAAAGCCTTCCTTTACTACCAGCCATCATGTTTTAATAGAAGGTGTTAGTTTTACTTTGCTGCTAGATGTCTCCGTATGGCACTCAACTTTTTAAAGTTGGGAAGTTTGTTTGTTCTTCTCATTTGCTACTTAAATTCTATAGCTGGCAATCGGTTTGTTTTACACATTTCACGCTTGGAGAAATGATGCCATA